TGATTTCTTTTGTCACACAAAATTTTAGACTTTGATGGAGTTTAAAACTTGTATCTTGGATTTTAACCAGCTTGGAATGTGTTGTCCATGGTACTGGGAGGCAGATTCTAGGGGCATTTTTTCCTCGCTGGCTCGCTGGCTGTCTCAGTCCCTGTGTTTATTGATGGTCTCTCCTTTCCCCTGTTGTGAAACACTGTCCTTATCACATACTAAGTTCCCATTTGCACATCTGTTTGTTTATGGGTTTGGTTTTATCAGTTGATCTCTTCCTCTCCTCTTGTGCTGATTCAGCCTGACGGTGTGGCTCTGGCCTTGATACACTTTGATGTCTGGAATGGCGAGCCCCAGGGACTTCAGACGCCACCGAGGGGCCGGTTTATCCTTAGCACTTTCAGCCTCCCCCAGCCTGGGGCTTTTCCCTTTTCGCTCATCCTCCCTCAGCTTTCAGTGACTTCCTCTGTCCTCCATCAAGTCTGCTGCAAAAATACTGTCCATCCTGGGGTGCAAATGACTGATAATAAGATTTTAATTCTTTTAGCATGAAGTATTTAAAGTGTACCGATAGAAGCAGAGAATAATAGAATAGGCATCTATTTTGAGTACAGACTAAACATCTGTACTCCCGTTTATTAAACCTTAACCCTGTGCCATCTTTGTTTCATCTTTTTAAATTAAGAAATAAATTATAGCAGTTATGGTGAAGGCCCAAAACCACTCTTGTGACTTCCATGTTCGTTGTTCCCATACATACAGAGTTCCCACTTTTCCTGCCTCTTTGTGTGCAACGACCTTTTCAGGAGGGGCCACCTTACCCCCCAGAGAACTTGCTCCCAGCTGTAAACCCTTCACCTCAAAGGAGAAATGCCCTGGCTGAACCAGGCATAGGGGCAGGGCCGAGGAGAGTGTTCCCCAAGGGGGCCCTTCTCTTGTTCTGGAATCATCTCATACAGATAAGGACGGTTCCGGAAGGTCTGTGTCTGGAGACTTTTCTAGGCGGTGGCTCAGAAAAGGCAAGGGGGAGGGAGGTGGTGGTGGCTGCAGCCTAAGAAGAAAGAAGAGCGTGGGCAGCAGAATCGCAGCAGCGGGGAGGAGCTTTGAACGGGGAAGGGAGAGCTCCCAGGGGCTTGTAGGGTCAGGCAGCAGCAGAGAGCGGATGTGGCTGGGGGTTGGATGCCACTCGGGCCCAGTGGTACAACTTCCTGGGAGAACTGCGGTGACTCACATTTAGTTCCTCCCCGGGGGTCAGGAAAGCAGGACCCAGCTGGACCACACTCCCTCCCCCAAAAGCTTTCCCTGGGGGCCATGGCTGGGTCTGTGGGGTGGGTTTCTGTGGACTTTACTATCTTGCTAGCTTTCCTAAACACATCAGCCCTCTGCTCACTGCTTAACTGTGTGATGCTCTCAGAGCCACTTCTTCATTTCTGTCTCTGCCTGCTCTCCCAGTGGAAACCTCGATGTTGGACTCTAGCTTCCCAACCAGTGGGTTCCCCACACCCACCTTCCGGGCCAGTTCAGCCTGTTCTAGCACAGCTCTGATGACGCCCTCCCCTAACAGAAGCCTTCGGACTCTTTCCACCCAGGAAGAGTCTCTGACCGCTTAGCGGGAGAGTCCTGCTTGCTGCCTTCTGCCCCTGAGCTGGCCAGTGTTCCCCTGCCATGTCCACACTCGGGCTCAGTCTTCTCCAGGGATCCGGGCTCCACTGCTTTCCTTCCCTAGGGAATCCCTCCGAGAGCACACTGTCCCTTCTCAGCCTCGCCCTCCCTCTCCCCGCGTTACTGTTACTGCACATCTCACCTCCCCGTGAAGGGAGCGCCGGTGGCAGGTCCCACACCAAAGGCGCTCAGGAAGGTTGGCCAGCGTAAAGTTAAGGATGACCTTTGACAAAGCAGAGCAGTCTCATCGGAGCGTGGAATCGCTCTGGGAAAGCCTAGCCAGGGGGCTGAGGTGGCACGTGGCTGTGCGCAAAGCCTCGGCTGCCCCTCTGTGCCCGCCTGTCAGGAGCAGCCAGCGTGGCACCCCATCCCCGCCCTGCCAGGGACCACGCGGGGACCACGCTGACCCCAGGAGGAGGTGTGCCCACCCTCAAGTCACCTCTGTGCGAGACGTCAAGTCAGCGGTATGCAGCTGGGGTTGAAGTGTTTGGGATGCCCCACTGGAGGAAGCCTTCTCTGCAAGGCTGTCCTGGAACGGGACGAGAAGTGCAGAATCTAGTTCTCTCCGGGCCGGTAGTCACTGCGTGCCTTGACCATCCTCCCCACTGTCAGCCAGCCTCCAACCAGGAAAGGAGAAGCCACTCAAGTATAGAAAGCAGTAAAGCAGAGGGATTGTTTTTATAGTAGTTCAAATAGTTTACAAATATATATATATAAACACACATATGCATATACATATATATATAAACACACATATGCATATACATGTGGATTACTTTTTTTTTTTCGGCTGTGCCACGCGGTGTATAAAATCTTAGTTCCCTGACCAGGGATCCAACCCGCACCCCCTTCAGTGGAAGCACGGAGTCTTAACCACTGGACCACCAGGGAAGTCCCTGGATTGCTTTTTATTTTGAAGTTACTTTTGACTCATAGCAGAGGTGCAAAAATAGTACAGGGTGTTCCCATGTACCTGTCCCCTAATATGAATATCTTACATAACCGTAGTACAATGATCAGAACTAAGAAATTAACATTGGTACAATGAGACTTTATTTGAATATCACCAGTTTATCTACTAATGTCCTTTTTCTGTTCCAAGATTCAAATTTGCATCTAATTGTCATGCTTTCTTATTCTCCTCCAACCTGTGACACTCCCGTGGTCTTTTCTTATCCCTACAACCTTGACACTTTTGAAGAGTGTTGGTCATTTATTTTTTGGAAAGTTCATCAGTTTGGGTTGCCTGATATTCTCTCACGATCATATTGAGATCGTGCATTTTTGGCAAGAACACCTCAGGAGTGACATGGCCCTTCTCAGGGCATTACGCTGGGAAGTCCACGGTGGTAATATGTTTTATTACAGGTAATATTATCCTTGATCACTTGGTTTAAGGTGGTGTCTGATAGATTTCTCATTTTTCCCTTTTCTTCTCCTATAATTTAATAAATACCTTTGCAGAGATGCTTTGAGACTACAAATATCCAGACAGAGGGAATTTAACCCAGGGAGTTGGTTACCCAGATAATAAAAGAGCTGAGAAACTAAACAGCCACAAGGAGCCATTAGCACCTCTAGGCCTGAGGCACAAAGGGAGGAGATGGTATTGCCAGAGCCCAGCATTAGGGGTCGTGCACAGAGGGCCCATCTGGTGAGGCTGGAGCCTTGAAGGAGACCCAGTCATTGCTGGTAATGCTGCCTGAAGCATAGAGAGATGGGGAGAAACACCGCGGCTTCTCTCTCTTCCTGTCTCCCGTTGGCCCAGCCCAGCTGGAACCCAGCTGAGTCTGCAGGGTTCAGCCCCTCTGCAGTACAGAGCCGGGATGGGCAAGAAGTGGCTCTGAGGGCACACTCCCTTGGGACTGGTACCTTGCCTTTGCCAATTCCTTCGAACTGAACTGTGCTGTCCAATAGGGCAGCCACTAGCCACATGTAGCTCTTGAGCCGTTGAAATTGACATGCTTTAAGCAGATTTCAAAACCTTAGTATGGAGAGAAGTATGTAAAATATCTCATTGATCATTTTTATATCAATTACCTATTGAGATAAACATATATTGAGATAAATAAAATGCATTATTAAGTTTAATTTTTCTTTTTTCTTCTTTAAATCTGGCTACTAGATCATTTAAAATTATGTCTGCGGTTCCTATTCGTTGGCCAGCACTGCTGTAGAGTACACTTGTACCAGCCTGTATCATCGGCGTTGTAATAAAATGTCTTTCCTATACAAAGGTCATGCCCTTGACCCACAGTCGGGGGAGGGTGTGTCTAGCCAAGGTTTCACAAGTCCAGGACGGTGATGGCTTTGAGCCATCCACACTCACGCACAGTTTTGACCAAGTGTGTCAAACAGAGAGAGACTGGGCTCCTCTGCTTTTTATGAATCATACAGGTGTAGGTCCAGATCAATGTTCAACGTGAGCTGGAGAGCCACGTAACATTTAACACAATAATAAAAGCACCACCATATATATAGATAACACATTACCGTGGAAGAACTGTACTCTTACTACTACTTTATATATAGATTTTGTGTAGCTTACAAAGTCCCTTCATTTCAACCTTGCAGAGTCACCCAGCCTTGCTGTCCCCATTTTATAGATGACAAATGAAGCCTGGGAGATTACATGGATTTCAGTGGCTCTCAAACTTCTGGTGCATCCCTTGGAAAGCTTGTCAAAATGGAGAAGACAGGTGCTGCCCTCAGCGAGTGATTCAGTGGGTGGAGATTAGGACCCAGAGACCCCCTACGTGGCAGGGTTTGAGGACCGTTACACTGGTAGTTGTCATATCACACTTCGGGGCACATGAGGCCCCTGAGGTCGGTGGTGGGACTGGGCTTCTGATGGCCAGTCTGGGGCTCTTCCCGATGTCATGCTCTCCTGTCAGTCCACAGGTCCACCGTACTTTGGGGCTGGGTGTACGGTGTGATCCACACATACATGCCTCTCCTCTAGCTCCAGCCTTGACACCGTAGGGGGCTAGTGGGCTGAAGAGTGGTTAGGTGGTCAAACATGGTGCTGGTTTCTCAAAACTCATATTTACCCTCTGTGTTGTCCGGTTGGCTTTGGAAGGTAGCTGCTCTTCATCACTTCGGGGGGCTTAGGTGGTAGGAAATGAGTTTGCCTTCCCCACACATACGCCAAAGGGCCACCTCCATGTGGCACTGGGAGATGCCGAGTGGGACCTGCTGGTACAGAAAGATTTGGCTTCGAAAATGGCTGAGCAGGATTTCATACTGGCTCTACTGCAGCAGGGCGGGACCGTGCCTGGAGGGCCAGGGCAGAGTGAGGATGAGCCTGTGTGTCCAGCCATCACTGACCACTCCTTTCTCCCCTGCAGTGGACGGCGGACTGCAGTGATCAGCTGGACTGCAGCTACTCTTTCTCCCGAGGGCGAGCCCCCCTGCAGCAGGTAGGGAGCCAGCTCCGTGCTCCATCTGGGGGTCATCGAGGTCTTGTCTGTCTGGGTTCCTGGGCTGTTCACCGTGGTGCTCCTGAGAGGTGGTGATGTGGGAGTGCGGGAAATGGGACAGGGGAGGGTGCAGTCTGCCCCCTGGAAAGTTCTCTCTGGATATGCAGCCCACAGTGAAGCCCTCCCTGCCCAGAACACATAGATTCATAAGATTTATTTTTAGTAGCAGCATTATTTATAATAACAAACATCTGTAAACAACTACTGATCCGTTGAGAGGAGAATAGACAAATGATACGTGATATATCCTTACAATGTACTGTAATACAGCAATAAAGTGAGTGATCTGTGATACATCCTTGCGGTGGAATATCATACAGCAGTAAAATGAGTGAACTGGAGGTTCGCGCATCAGCGATGGTGATGGGTCCCAGGGTTTTGGTGGGGTGGGGGCGCACTCTGGAGATCGCTTCTGCTCCAGGTCTGCAGAGGACTGGAAGGGGCAGGCTGTGGGTGTGAGGGAAGCCAACCAGCTTCCTGGGACCAGGCTGGAGTCCGCTGCTTCTCCCCCTGCTGCTTCCCTGTGAGGTCCCGAGGGGGCGCCTGTGCGGGTCGTGTGGCCCGGAGGGAAGGAGGCAGCTGCTCCTCGAGAGCCGTCCCTGGTGACCCCCAGGTCCCGTACACCCTCTGGTTGTCGAGCTGTTCTTGCTGATACCTCATCCCACCTGTGGGAGATGGTGGGATCAGAGACCGAAACTCCGTCTATCCGCAACCCGCAGTCCAGCCTCCCCCTGCACCTGTCCAGAGAGATGAGGGAGGCTTTATGGGCTTCCGCAGTAACTTGCTCCCAGTTCCAAAGCACCTGTGTTGACACATCGCCTGGCCCCACTTGCTTGTGTCTGACTTCGGTCCATGGTGCTGATGAAACCAACTCTTCTCTATTCTTTCGTGAGGGAAGGTGGGCCGTGGCCTCAGTTCCAGATCTTTCTTAGGCTGTAGGGCTTTGCTATACCATGGGGGGGGTGGTGTCGGGGCAGCTGCCCTGGACAGTTCTGTCACATGACGAGATGCTTGTGTGTGTGTTTCGTTGATTCTTAAGTAGGTGGCCATGATAAAGCCAGGGTGGGGTGCTCTGCCACAAACCTGGTGACAGTTCTCTGTGTCCTCAGCTTCCTCATACAAAAACCAGGAGACTCGGCGGCCTCTGAGGATCCTTCTAGCTTCTCCATGCCATTTACAGACAGGGAAGTTGGGGTCCATGGAGGTGTCATGACCTGACCAAGCTGGGACTTGAACCCAGGTCTTTGCCTATCCCGTCCCCTCATCAGCCCTTTACCTTGTCTTCCTGTAGTAGGTAGCCTTCTATGCAGGTCTTTTGTCCTCACCACTAGACTGCTGGTGCTTGGTCATGGACTCCGTTTATACGCCCTAAACCCCTCCAGCCTTGGCTGAAGGCCTGACACGTCAGGGGCACTGTCACTAGTGTCTGCCAGTTATCTGGGGTTTCCTACATGAAGATTCTCTTAACATTTCAGCAGCAAAGGTGGACTTGGATTTGGGGACTCAAAAATCAGAGAGAGAGCTTCAGGGAAGGGTTGAAAGTCTTGGATGGGGACATAAGAGGCTGGTAAATGAGAGACTGAAAAAACAGCTCTCTGTTATTTAGTCAGTAGGTGTCTGGTTCTGGAATCGTTCAGGGTCTTCCTTTTTGTTCTCACTCCTTTATCTTCTTTTCTGGGTCCCCTCTCCCCACCCTTTCTCTCTGGTCCCATTTTCCCATCACTCTGGACAGGTTTCCAGGGGGATGAGATTGGCGTATCCTCCCACTTGCTTCTCATCTGCCTGCCTCACTCTGAGCTGTCCTTTCACAGCTGGTTTCACCCCCTGGAGGAGGGTGGGTGGGGTGTTGGCCAGGGCCGGGGGCTTGTGGGAAGGGGTACCCTGGCACCATGAAGACCAGCCGACCCCGACGCCCGTCTTAGAAGCAGCTGAACAGTTGGCTTGGGGTAAGCAGGGGCTGAATGAAATGCAAAACGAAATGCAACTGAACTTAAAGAAGAAATTGTAAAAGGCTCCTGTTAGGTCCTTTCTTGGCAGGTGGAACTGAGCATAAGTCCATTATAGGGGACGAGCCCCAGGAAGGGTGAGGCGGGCTCTCAGGATGTAAACCCGCTTTACTTCCCTGATGTGCCCGGAACACGAGGGCTTCATAGTAGGGGTTTCCTACAGGCCATGGGGCCATTGGCACTCCCACCTCCCCCGTGTAGTCTGTCTGATCGTCTCAGAGGGAGGAAGGGGGAGACATCTGCTTCCAAGAAGCGGAAGAGTAGCCGGGGCACCGAGGGACAGCCACGGCCTCAGCCCCACGGCCTCAGCCCCACGTGCCACGTGCCTTGTGTGTTCTGGATTCAGAGCCCGTGGTGTCCCCACACGGCGAGCCAGCTGGGGGAAGCGGGAAGGCTGCTCCGCCTGAGTCCTGGTGAGGTCACACCCTGTGCCGTGAGAAGCTGCTTAGAGCCGAGGAAAGCTCAGCGGGCCCAAGAGTTCAGGGTGTTTGCGGAGGGAGTTTTCATAGATTCCTCTGCTGGGGAGTGTTTGTAGTGGCCTGGAGCATGGCCCCTGAAGGGCAAGAAGATAATGTGTAAAAGAATGCCCAGTGCAGGGCAAGAGACACAATGTGCACAGCGTGGCCAGACCTCAGGTGGCCCAGAGCTAAGGCACTCGGGCAGGCAGAGCAGAGGTCGTGGCATCGGGCTGGCCCTCCTGGAAGGCCCCGGACGCTGTACCCCGCGCTGCACGGAGAGACAGGATTGAAATGAGGTCTCCTGAGGTCATCACCTTGGTTCGGTGATGAAAGGCCTGACTAGACATAACTCAGTTAATTAGGGTCCGAACAATAGAGTGGTGTAAGCAAGACGGAAGTCTCTTTCTCTCTCGCCACCCTCCTGGGAGGGTGTTCAGGGCTGGCATGGCAGCTCAGCCGTGTTGGGACAGCCTCCTTGTTTCTCATGCTCTGCCCTCTCTGGGGTGTTGCCCTTGTCCCATGGCCCGTGCTGGCTCACGTCCGCATCCACATTCCTGCCAGTGGGAGCACCCAACCTGGGCTTCTGGAGCCCAGGAGCCTCTGGTGTCCCCTCAAGAAGCAACCGTCTTCTTTTAAAAGTTAAAAACTTTTTTAATTTTTTGTCCACGCGGTATGTGGGATCTTAGCTCCCCGACTAGGGATGGAACCCACGCCCCCTGCAGTGGAAGAGCAGAGTCTTAACCACTGGACCGCCAGGGAAGTCCGTTGAAGCAGCTATCTCCTGATGCCCTCCGGTGGAGGGATCAAAGCTGGTCAGCATCCCTTGAGTGACATAAGGAAAGCCCCACAATTTACCAGAGACAGCTGCCCCTGCCCACCCTGCCCTGGAGCGGCCCCCTGATGGAGGGGAAACCAGGGAGCTGCCGGCTGAAGAGTGCCTTAGCTGGGGGTAGATCTGACGGGATGCTGCTGCCCATACAGCCTTCACGGGCCCCTTCAGCCTGGTCCACCAGATGTAGGAACACTGGACCAGCTCATATGAGCACCCACCGGCTTCCTCACTGTACCCTCTCCACCAGGCAGACACCCTCACCCGCACACTAACTCACGGTGTGATCAGGATATTCCATATGTACATCTGCCTGTCCCCTCAGCCTGCTGGTGGGCCTTGAGCTGGGCACCACCAGGGCTCCCTTTACATCCCTGACCACCCCCCCCCCCCAGCCTAGGGCCTTGCACACAGTAGGTGCTCAATTATGATACCTGAGGTGGCTCAGACCCGGTCTACGCAGTCATTCCCTAGCGGGTCCTATTCCTCTGGCCACACCAACTTTGCTGAGCTTTTGGAAGTCATTGGGATGATGGGGCAGCTCTACTATCCCACATTCACCCCTGGGAAGAATTTCAGGAGGAAACTGAGGCTAGATTGAGACTGGGGTGACTGCTCCAGCACTTGCCCTGACTGCCCCACTTCGGGCACGTGGACCCCGGACAGTGGGGCCCACAGGAGGATGCCGAGGTGCTGCATTCTGCCCAGGAAGCTGTGTGGTGAGTCACAGACCATGCACTGAATGAGGAGCTGGGTGCAGGCAGCATTTGAGGATTAGTCATGCACTGGGATTATTTTTGTTGTTTTAATTAATGAATAAAACCAAAAAAACCCTTGCCTTCTCTGAACCCTTTCAGAGGCACAACATAGAGGTAAGCCAGGGTAGGTAGAGTCCCATGAAATGGAAGGAGGGGGCTCAGAGAGTCCAGAACAAAAAATGGGTTCCATATAGTCCTGAAGAGGCCCGTTAACTGCCTGTAGTCGGGATTCGGCTGTACTGTGGACTGTTTGGCCTCCTGGCAGCATCTTTCCAAGAGAGTTCGTCCGCCACCTAGTCATTTACTCAGGAGGTCGGAATACAGTTTCCACCTTATTGTAACAGGGGAGGTGCCCGGCGATGATGTAGAGGAAGGCACCTGAAATGAGAGAGTGCAGCCCAGTGCATTTAGACGACACCCCCAGGTGCCGGCCCAGGACTTAGCATTCAGGGAAGGAAGCTGAAGGCGTGTGCAAGGTTGTGTGGAGTCAGGTGCAAACAGGTCTTCTCCATCGGCACAGAAATGCCAAGGAAAGGAAATTGACATGCCGGACAGCAGCAGTGCCTCTGATTAGACCTTGAGAAGGACCTCCTGACCGAAGGACTTGTTGGCCCACGGTGTTGGCTGTCGAGCAAGTGATGGGATCTTTGCTGGGAACCTGATGAGCACACGTCTTACCAGACAGGTTCATGCAAAGCCCTGGGAAAGGTAGGGATGTGTCAGATATGGTGTCCTGAGTCCCGGCTGACAGGCTGTGATCCCACACTCCCTGGAGTGAGGAGAGAAGGGCACTCCCCTCTTCCACCCGTGATGCCCGGTAGCAAATCGAAGCATCAGGAGAGAGTGAAAAGAGCCTTGTTCCAGGGGTCAGAAGAACCAGATGTTGACC